GGCTGTCTCTGGCTGCATGTGTTGCTCCCCTGCGGTTTCAATCAGTAGAGAGAAGCAGGGATAAGATGCAGCTTCCTATCCCTGTCTCTCTCATACTGGCCAACGCCGGTATTGCAGTTCATTCTAAATCTCACACGAAAAATAGCAGAACAAGCTGAAAAATTCAGGGGGGGCAAGTGCCCCCCCCTGCGGTCGCCCATGCCTGTGATAACCCATGTTCAAAAGTACTGTTTCTGCCCTTTGGACTTTTAACTGGAACATATTCAAACATGTGGCGGCGGCCATCTTAAATTGTCCAGCGGTGTTTTATCGTTGAGTGTATGGAACTGTTTTGGGCATGGGACCATGTGCACGGTGGGGCAAAAATAAGACTTCCAGGAAATTCCTGAACCCCTGAACCGATTGGGATGATTTTTGGAAATGTTGTTCACCCAGATCGGGGTTATCAGGGGATGTGATGTTTGTGGGGATATGTTATATTTTGGGGTACTTTTGGGGGTTTGTAAAAATGTATGTTTTTTCTGCTTAGAGTTAATTGAGTTAGCCCATTGTCTTAGTTAATTGTATCACAGACAGAGGGGAGGGATTGTGTGCTGTATGTGGGAGTGTCGGACATGGTTATGTTGTTCTGATTGGTTTGTGTCCTTTGTGTGCCTGTGTTCCATCAGGTCCAATGGGTGTGCCTCCGGCCTGAGGAATTGTATATAAGCAAACCTGTACCAATAAAGCCTCAGACTTGTTCTACCCTTCATGAAGTCTTGGCTCATGTTTGGGGGATTGGAGAACTACACTCTGGGGATTGCTATAATCACTATACTGGTATATACTGGTCACTATCCTGGTCTTGGGTCTAGAGTGGGTGGATGACGGCGAGACCCCAACCAAGTTGCGGTGGTTTGTGGGGTCTGCAGTGGTTATGGTGTCTAGTAGAGGGCTTGGAGCCCTCTGGAAGCACTAGGGGATTGCTATAATCCCTATACTGGACCGGGTAGGATGCAGAAAACAACGGCCGGAGCCCGCTAAGATTGAGGCTGTTGCCAACTGGCCCACCCCCGTACCAAGACGCAAGTTATGGCTTTATTAGGGACAGCCGGCTACTACAGACGTTTTGTCCCTGACTATAGCACCCTGGCCAAACACCTGACGGACTTGACAAAAAAGAACTTAACCCTACAGGTCCTGTGGTCCCCGGAGTGCGAGGCAGCCTTTGAAGCATTGAAGCAAGCTCTTATAAACGCACCTGTTCTCGCTGCCCCGGATCCTAACAAACATTTTATTGTACTCACAGATGCTTCAATGTTTGGACTGGGGGCAGTCTTAAGCCAGGTCAGAGAAGACGGAGGGGAGCACCCTGTATCTTATTTGAGCCGAAAATTGTTGCCCAGGGAGGTCAGCTATGTGGCCATTGAAAAAGAATGCCTAGCTTTAGTGTGGGCATTGAAGAAACTAACACCCTACTTATATGGCCGGCTGTTCACCCTCATCAAGGACCACAATCCTCTCGTCTGGCTCAATAGGGTTGCAGGGGATAATGCCCGACTTCTACGGTGGAGCCTCGCATTACAACCATATGACTTCACCATCCACTACCGACCTGGCAAAATGAATGGGAATGCGGATGGCCTATCCCAACAAACTGAATTAGCGGCCTAAATTTCGCAAGGATTACCCAGACAGCCCCAAGTCGACCCGAAAAGTGTCCAACTGTGTCTGCCGGAGCTGTCAGCAAGGGGGGAGCAGTGTGAAGAAAACTCCTGTTTTATGGACTTAGTTTGACTGTTTTGTTCTCCCCCCCCTTAGAACACCAGTTTAAACCGTTAATAACTGTCATATTTTCAAACACTGTCTGACCCTTTTAACTGTCATTTTGTTTTCCTCAGAGCAGGAGTGTTTTTACTGCATGAATACTGTTGTTTTGTGTGGCATTAAACAGATCTCTAACCATCATTAAGCCTCGGCTCATGTGTGAGGGGTTATGCTATGCTTGTGTCTACACTCTGCCTGGAATGATTATTCGCCAAGTACTGGGAGAAAGGGAACCCAAGACGGTCACAAGTATAAATAATCTTAAACACAGTTTCACACAAGAAAACCAGACACCAAATGACCGATAACACTAAGTAATTAATTTTACTTTCTAAAAAAGAAAAATAACGGAACATTACTAGTTCCATTGTAAGAAAAGGGTGAATCTAAGGCTACTTATGCCAACTCTAAAATTACGATGCTAAAATACAAACACTAAGTCTGGGCAAGAGTGAACCAAAGTCTTTGAAGATGACAGGTTCTTTGATGTATAGTAGCCATAAGAGAAAACAAAAATGACATAATCACATCACCAAATTCAGTTAACCCATTATATAAAAAGGTAAATGGACCCCCTGACAAGAATTTTCGGTGATGTAATTGCGCCACCTACTGACCAAAATCTATCTAGTCAGTAGGTTGCGGTTTAGGAGTGTTAATGGGGTGACAGAGGTTAATGAGTGTTAAACTCCACGTATGGGTGGTCTCGTCGTTCGGTAGGTGAATGCAATAATAATAAAAATTAATGGGAATGCAATAGTCTGAAGACACACACACAGTTCCCTATTGGTCCTATCAACTAGTGACGCGCAGATAATTTTTCCCCTTTAAAAAGTAAGGACAAAGGGAAGAGAGGACACATTTGGACTCTTTGACACTCTAAACACTCTCTTGGACTCACAGCTAACAGCTAAGATCTGACATCTGAATCAAAAGCTGGACACACCTAATTCTTTATATTTTCTAACGAACACAACTTCAGAACTGAATACTTTTATCTATTTCCATACAATTCTCTATACATCATACTTGCATTCAAATTTCCTGGGACAAATCTACACGTTTGATAGAAAATCTACAACTTAACTGGTAATTATGCTGGTTTTATTTAATTAAATTAATAGATTTTTACTTATAGCAGGAATATATATCTGGATAAATCTTGGTCAGATTTCAATTATTAGAAATCATAATTAGCTAAGGAATATATGGTTATAAAAATTCCATTCCTGCAGGTGGAATAAAGATAATGATATATTAACGGTAAATTTGCCAAATATTAGTGTGGTGAAACCGACCTCACCACTGGGCATTGGAGAAGACTGCCAGCATCCTGCCATGTGACTATGGCCCCTGGGATGTATTGCCCTTTAAAGACATGATTTGGGCATAATGGATTTGTGTTGTGCTGCTGCTGGCCCTTTAAGAACCATCTGGGGACATACTGTTGAGTTACTGGGTGGCCACCATTTCATGTATCAGAGGCACATGGTGAGAACAATGGATGAAGCACATGGTGAGAACAATGGATGGTTGTCATTTTAACTCACAGACACTGTTTGGACTTTGTGGCGAAACCAACCACGCCACTGGGCATTGGAGAAGCCTGTTTGCCCGGCTCCTGTCTGCTGACTATGGCCCTGGGAGATTTGGCCCTTTAAATACAGTATTTGGGAATATTGTATTTTATTATGCTGCTGCTGGCCCTTTAAGAACTATCTGGGGACATACTATGGAGTTACGGGGTGGCCACCATTTCATGCATCAGAGGCACATGGTGAGAACAATGGATGAAGCACCTGGTGAGAACAATGGATGGTGGCCATTTTAACTCACAGACACTGTTTGGACTTTTCTACACGGTGCCGTCTCTCCGGTATTTGGTGCACAAAGACATCGTGCAGTAGTTTTAAACTATACAACAGGGGACACATTATACAGGGAGTGCAGAATTATTAGGCAAATGAGTATTTTGACCACATCATCCTCTTTATGCATGTTGTCTTACTCCAAGCTGTATAGGCTCGAAAGCCTACTACCAATTAAGCATATTAGGTGATGTGCATCTCTGTAATGAGAAGGGGTGTGGTCTAATGACATCAACACCCTATATCAGGTGTGTATAATTATTAGGCAACTTCCTTTCCTTTGGCAAAATGGGTCAAAAGAAGGACTTGACAGGCTCAGAAAAGTCAAAATAGTGAGATATCTTGCAGAGGGATGCAGCACTCTTAAAATTGCAAAGCTTCTGAAGCGTGATCATCGAACAATCAAGCGTTTCATTCAAAATAGTCAACAGGGTCGCAAGAAGCGTGTGGAAAAACCAAGGCGCAAAATAAATGCCCATGAACTGAGAAAAGTCAAGCGTGCAGCTGCCACGATGCCACTTGCCATCAGTTTGGCCATATTTCAGAGCTGCAACATCACTGGAGTGCCCAAAAGCACAAGGTGTGCAATACTCAGAGACATGGCCAAGGTAAGAAAGGCTGAAAGACTACCACCACTGAACAAGACACACAAGCAGAAACGTCAAGACTGGGCCAAGAAATATCTCAAGACTGATTTTTCTAAGGTTTTATGGACTGATGAAATGAGAGTGAGTCTTGATGGGCTAGATGGATGGGCCCGTGGCTGGATTGGTAAAGGGCAGAGAGCTCCAGTCCGACTCAGACGCCAGCAAGGTGGAGGTGGAGTACCGGTTTGGGCTGGTATCATCAAAGATGAGCTTGTGGGGCCTTTTCGGGTTGAGGATGGAGTCAAGCTCAACTCCCAGTCCTACTGCCAGTTCCTGGAAGACACCTTCTTCAAGCAGTGGTACAGGAAGAAGTCTGCATCCTTCAAGAAAACATGATTTTCATGCAGGACAATGCTCCATCACACGCGTCCAAGTACTCCACAGCGTGGCTGGCAAGAAAGGGTATAAAAGAAGAAAATCTAATGACATGGCCTCCTTGTTCACCTGATCTGAACCCCATTGAGAACCTGTGGTCCAACATCAAATGTGAGATTTACAAGGAGGGAAAACAGTACACCTCTCTGAACAGTGTCTGGGAGGCTGTGGTTGCTGCTGCACGCAATGTTGATGGTGAACAGATCAAAACACTGACAGAATCCATGGATGGCAGGCTTTTGAGTGTCCTTGCAAAGAAAGGTGGCTATATTGGTCACTGATTGTTTTTGTTTTGTTTTTGAATGTCAGAAATGTATATTTGTGAATGTTGAGATGTTATATTGGTTTCACTGGTAATAATAAATAATTGAAATGGGTATATATTTGTTTTTTGTTAAGTTGCCTAATAATTATACACAGTAATAGTCACCTGCACACACAGATATCCCCCTAACATAGCTATAACTAAAAACAAACTAAAAACTACTTCCAAAAAATATTCAGCTTTGATATTAATGAGTTTTTTGGGTTCATTGAGAACATGGTTGTTGTTCAATAATAAAATTAATCCTCAAAAATACAACTTGCCTAATAATTCTGCACTCCCTGTACAGTAATTATTTTTCATTTAGATTGTATATGTTCTGCAGAATCTGCATTAAACTGTATCTTCCAAACTACTGAATGGATCTGGGTGAATTTTGGATATGTGGTTCACCCAGATCCACTTTTATGGGGTTATTGCATGTTTTGGGGTCCCTGTGATATGTTTTATAATGTATTTCTCTGCCTGTGATAATTATATTAACCATTGTGTTCAGTAATCATATCACAGGCAGAGGGGAGGATTTTGTGTGGGAGTGTCTGTGTGTATTGTACAGATTGATTGGTTGTATTTCAAAACCCTGTGGGCAGTACTAAGTTTGTGAATTGTGAATAAAAGAGGCTGTATGTGCCAGTACGGCCAGTTCTGCTTGACCTCAAAATGAAGTGTCGTCTCGTTATTGGGGGAATTGTATGCTGATTGCCAGGAGTGTAAACTGATTGTATGCTTTTCCTGTTCAGCTGTTTACAACATTCCTATGCTTGAGAGCATTCGTATGCTTCTCCAGTTCGGTGGTTGTGGTGTCTGCTGCAGTGCTTGGAGTCCTCAGGAAGCGCTAGGAGCATCCTTTAACGAAGGTACCCAGTCGGGGTGCCAGGTGATCCGTTACAGTTAGCATACCAAATTCTGATCCAGAGGTATTGACTTGTTCTGATATAAGATAGTGAATCTTAATTAGGAAAGTTAAAATTCTGCAAACATAAAATCTAGTTAGAATTATTCTTATTGGATGGACTTAGGAATGTTGAATGATCTGGTATGAGGATTACTGTAATTGAAAAATTGCAATATAATAGGATATCTTGCCTTTGAGGATTGTAGCCAGCAGTGAAAGAGTTAATTCAGGGTGATTTGACTGTCAGACAAAGTTTGTATTGCTTTACGCTGTGCTGCTGGTTCTGTGGTTAAGTTGGTTTCTAAGCAGTGTCCTATCAAAAATCTTGTTGACAACTTTGCATATATAACTGTTGCTTTTAGCTGTCTATATTGTGTTAAAACCACTGCCATATTGTATACTTATGTTATACCTAAATATTCACTGATTATTGTCACGCTTGTTACATATATTATTTTTATTATTGTCACAATAAATTATATTTTTAGAATTCATTTGTGATTAATGTTTGAAGTAAAAATCTTCTAATGAAATCTTACTCTAGGATCTAAGAGAATTAAAATAGTGGGTAATTCTCGGCTTTAAATAATTAATCGGGGAGACAGTGCCAAGATATCAAATTTTGATCTAATAAAAATATTTAAATACATTTTTGATAATTTTTATGAAAATATAATTTTTTTTATTTTTTTTTTTTTAAATTCTTTATTTTTTTTGTGGAAATTTCCACCGATTTCAATAACAGTATACAGATGGATAAGAGTCGAACAATTTAAACAGAACATGCATTTATATCATACATCTACATATATACGTTTCTTTCTTGGTTAAGCGTCCCATCAGCTTAGGTGAAGGTGGCATGTGTAAGAGGATTGTGTAGGTAGCTCCCGAGTCGGTATGTCATGCTAGCCGCTGTAGTGGACCTGGAATGTAGCCCTTGAACAGCCCTTGTGGGTTGGAATTAAAGCGTGGGAACGTTAGGAAAACGTGTTGTCCGCTCGTGTGGGTATGTGTCTATAGTGTGGAATGGCCCGCTATCTGTTTCATAATTAAACGATTTAAAAATAGCGTATATTTACGGCGTACATCATTCTGGGTTGGGCGTCCCAGCAAGTCGAGTGGGATATGTGATAAGAGTGTATAGGTAGCTCCCGAGTCGGTGTCTCACTCTGGCTGCTGTTGTCTCCTTAAAGTGTGCCCTGTGCTAAGGTTCTGTAACGGCCCGTGTGCGTCGGATATCAAGACCTTGGTAGTATGTCTCGGCTGCTCATCCGGGCATAAATCTTTAGTCTAGAATAACCCGCGGGGGCTTAATCTTAACCGCCCGGATGTCCCTGTTGGTAGGGCAGCCTGTGTACCGTTAGGGTGTGTGCCTAGGTGGGGCCGTTAGTGACGCTTACGGAGATTTAGTGCTTACTGTGGTAGGGCTCTCCTACTATTCACGTGGGGTTAGGCAAGCATCTCGACAGCCTAGGTTGACATCTCTGGTGGGATGAACATGAGCCTATTGGCAGAGTGTGTTAGTGTTTCTCGCGTGGTTAAGTTAGACATGGTGGCAATGCCTGTCAGTGGCCACTGTGGGGTTAAAATAAATTTGGAGTCAATATCGGCCCATTGATAGGGCACGGTAGAGGCTCTTGTGTTTTAGGGTTGCACGGAGAAAGAAGAAAGAAGAAAAAAAACAAACAAAAAAAAAAAAAGACACACAAAGGGATTGGGTTAGCTGACAAGTTTGTGCTGTCTCTGTTAGTCCTCTATGGGTCCTGCTGATAGTCTTTCGTTGCCTGCTGTGGCCCTGCAAAATGCTGGAGCCCCGGTGATACCGCAGGTTGTGTGGACAAGAGAGTCTCTTTATGGAGGGTCTTCTCGCTCCAGTGGGTGCGTGTCTCCTGTGGATCCGTTTCTTCGTTTCTGCTTCGCATTGGGGGTCACTGCTTCTGGTCTCCTGTTGTGAGCCGCCATTGGAATGTTGAGACTCTTCCAGAACTCCTCGTGGTCTCCGGCGGCCGACAGGGTATGTATTGCGTCTCCCTGCTGTACCACCAGTGTTCCGGATAGCCCCCATCGGTATTTAATGCCGTGATCTCGCAGAGTCCTGGTGAGGGGCATGAACTTGCGCCGTTCAAGGAGGACTGTAAAGGGTAAATCATCATAAATCAAAATCCTGTTGTTTGCGATCACCAGGTTTGGTTTTTGTCTAGATCGCGCCATGACAGCTGTTTTTACTGATATGTCTCTTGAGACAGCTATGATGTCGCGGGGTGCATCAGCGGGCGCTGTGGGGGCCTTCCTGACTCTGAAGGCTGACACTAGTGGTGGTCGGTCGGCTTCTGTTTGTAGTCCCAGTGCTTGCAGGACCTCATTGGCAAACTCTAGCAGGGCTCCTTGCCCTATCGTCTCTGGGGCCCCGCGGATTCTGAGATTTTTCCGTCTGTGGCGCGTTTCTAGGGAGGTCACCGTGCGTGTAAGGTGTTGCACTTGATTCGTGAGGGCAGTGACCCGGGAATCGATGTCATCAATTTTTTTCCCCCTCTCCCCTTCTCGGGTCTCGATTGTTCCCATGCGGCGGTTCAGGCCTCCTATTTCCTCCTGGACCCCGGCGAGGTCCGCCTTCCACACCTCTCTCAGGTCGCGCAGGAGGTTTTTTATGTCTCCCTTGGTGGATGGGGACTTATCGGAGTCCGAGTCTGCTCTCTGGTATACTCCACTGTGGGTCCGGGGTGCTTGTGTTATCTCCCCTTCCAACGAGAGCTCGGAGTCACTCGAGCCGCATGGCTCCGCAGGCGCCATGTCTGGTCGCACTCGCTGCGGCGGCCTACAGAGGGACAGTCGGATGTCTGTGTGTTTCTGATCCTCTGCTGGGATCGTTTTTCGGTGCTTTTTGCCCATCTCTCTTGGAGGGGTGTTCCTGATGTCTAGATGTTATATTTTGAGCTCCGTTGCGGTAATTAAATTCAGATTTTGGGTCTCTGGAGCGGGAGCTCTTCAAGTGTGCGTCCGCTCAGTAGCTCAGTTAGCCACGCCCCCCGAAAATATAATTTTTAAGATGTATCACCCCCATAAATATCCTCACAGGTTTTTGACTTTGGCTTCATTTTGACTTCCCTGTATTCTGGTATTCCTGATTTTTGGCTTTCCCTTATCGTTGTGTCCCATTCTGTGTCCCCGACCTCGGCAAGTATTCTGACTTTGATACGTTGAGTCCGGCCATTCTAAGGCCCGGCAAGACGTTACCTTTTAGTCCTATGTGTGATACAATTCTATGTGCTGGATCAACTAGTAATCCTGACAGTATGTTTGGCAAGCAATTGCTTTATTTTCAAATGTCCTTCATTGTATCTAAGTTTTAATTGGCTGTGAAGTCTTCTACATGTTTTGTATCCATACAGCGATTGGTGGGTGTATTTTTCATTTGTTAATTCCATTGATTTATATATTATTGATTAATTGTTGTAATTATATGTGCTATATAATTGTGTTTGTCACATACAACACACTGGTCGAAATGTTGTTTTTCACATTCTGGTGACAAAAAATTGCCTGAAATTGAACCTTTCAAGTGCCCTTATCCTTTCTTTTGAAGTATTACATTTGGGATTTGGTGCTGAACCCAGATCTGTTTGCACCCTGGTTCTAAGGTTGGAAGATTGAGTGCAGTTACTGTGTTACATGGGAGATAATTGAGTCAGGAACTGTACTAAACTCAATTATCTGCAGGCACAGAAAACATACATTTTTACAGTATCCCAAAAGTACCCCCAAAACTTATGAAAACACCACAAGTCACCGTTGATAGTCCCGATCTGGGTGACCAATGTGGCGGAACAGACCTCGCCACGTGTTCTTGGAGGGGGCTGCTTGCCCGCCTCCTACCTTCTGACTATGGCCCTGGGATATATGACATTTGAAAACACTATTTGTGCCCTGTGACAAAACTGGAGATTGTGCACAAAAATGACTATTGTCCATATTTTTTTATGATTCCCTTCGTTTGTTGCTCTGTTCCCAGGGCCGGATTAACATAGGGGCTGATGGAGCTGCAGCTCCAGGCCCAGGCCCATGGAATAGGCGCACTGATTTTTTCACACACTACTCTTAGGGATTCCACCTGGCTTTTATTTTATTGGCACAGCCAGTATTTGAGGCTGCCTGGCTGGTTCCAATATTGCAGTGATACTGGCAATACAAATGCTGGTATTTTTCTCAGTATACACAAGAGATTACTCTGCAATACCAGCACTGGCCACTAGGGGTCACTGTGTGTGGAGACCGGCAGGGATAGGAAGTTCCAGCATATCCCTCCCTGCCTAGCTATACTCACTGATCTGCAGGGGAGCAGCTACAGAGAGTCCAGACAGCAACTTCCACCCTGCAGAGACAGCCTACAGCTCAGGGCAGTAAGGGATGGGGGGAAAGGCTGAGACATGGGGACACTGAGACACTATGGGACACTGGGAGACATTATGGCAGACACTGAGACACTAAGGGACATTGGGAGACATTATGACACACTGAGACACTAAGGGACATTGGGAGACATTATGACACACTGAGACACTAAGGGACACTGGGAGACATTATGGCAGACACTGAGACACTAAGGGACACTGGGAGACATTATGGCAGACACTGAGACACTAAGGGACATTGGGAAACATTATGGCAGACACTGAGACACTAAGGGACACTGGGAGACATTATGGCAGACACTGAGACACTAAGGGACACTGGGAGACATTATGGCAGACACTGAGACACTAAGGGACACTGGGAGACATTATGGCAGACACTGAGACACTAAGGGACACTGGGAGACATTATGGCAGAGACACTAAGGGACATTGGGAGACATTATGGCAGACACTGAGACACTAAGGGACACTGGGAGACATTATGGCAAACACTGAGACACTAAGGGACACTGGGAGACATTATGGCAAACACTGAGACACTAAGGGACACTGGGAGACATTATGGCAGACACTGAGACACTAAGGGACATTGGGAGACATTATGGCAGACACTGAGACAATAAGGGAGATTGGGAGACATTATGGCAGACACTGAGACACTAAGGGGACACTGAGAGACATTATGGCAGACACTGAGACACTAAGGGACATTGGGAGACATTATGGCAGACACTGAGACACTAAGGGACATTGGGAGACATTATGGCAGACACTGAGACACTAAGGGACATTGGGAGACATTATGGCAGACACTGAGACACTAAGGGACACTGGGAGACATTATGGCAGACACTGAGAGACTAAGGGACATTGGGAGACATTATGGCAGACACTGAGACACTAAGGGACATTGGTGTTACAAACTGCCATTTGTAACTGTTATGTTATTTGACAAATTGCCCTGCTTCCCTGTGTTATGGAGAAGCCTAATTGCCAGCCTTCTGCCCCATGACTATGGACCTAGTGTGTATGGCGATTTGACTGTATTTGTGGGATCTGAGCGCTGTTTGGATATATTGAGCGCTCAGATCCAAGCCATCTGGGGATAGGTTGAATGTGGGGATTCTGTTCAGTTCAATAGGAGTTATGTATTTTTGTGTCTTTTTGTGTCTTTTGCTACATGTGGTTAATGGAGTCTGCCTCTATCCCTGGATAATTGGATTACTTCCCCCATTGTCCAGGATAGAGGGCTCTGTAAATCCGGTTTGGGCCAGAAAACCATGCTGCCAGCTAGGCCCCAAAAGATACTTTGGCTAACTTTTGAACCCCTTGTCTGATTTGTGCCAGTTTTTAATATGTTGCTCCCCTGAATGGATTGATTCTAAATATGTATTTTTATGAAGATTGGATGTGTAGTTTGGAAGTTATAGTACATGTATAAAAACTGTATTTTTACTGCCTGTGTTTAATTATGTTAACCCATTGTGTACCATAATTAGATCACAGGCAGAGGGGAGGAGTTTTGTGTGTAATTGCTGGGAGTGTTTCTGTAATGTACATTTGTTATTGGTTGTTTTATACCTCCCTGTGGGCGGTCCTGTATTTGCAAGACTGTAATAAAAACCAGGCTGGGTGTGCCAGCACCTCAGATCTTCTTGACCCTCTAACTTGCAGCCTTGACTCATGTTTGTAGGGGACAGCTATAATCACTACAGGGATTGCTATGCTCTTCATACTCCCTTAGCTAGTGAGCTCTTGTTCCTGACCCTGCTTCGCTCTACAGAAGGAAGAGGTTCACCTACTGCAACCTGGAGCCTGGTCGTGGGTCCAGGGCACAGAGCAGACTGCGAGATACCAGCCCAGCAGCGGTGGTTCGTGGAGTCTGCAGTACTTCTGGTGGCTACGCAGTAGTTATGGTGTCTACGGTGCTGATGGTCCTTTGGTGAGCGCTAGGAGCATCCTTTTCTACGGTCCAACTTCCAGCCAGCCTGGAGGCAACCGTAACAATTGGGAGACATTATGGCAGACACTGAGACACTAAGGGACACTGGGAGACATTATGGCAGACACTGAGACACTAAGGGACACTCGGAGACATTATGGCAGACACTGAGACACTAAGGGACACTGGGAGACATTATGGCAGACACTGAGACACTAAGGGACATTGGGCGACATTATGGCAGACACTGAGACATTAAGGGACATTGGGAGACATTATGGCAGACACTGAGACACTAAGGGACATTGGGAGACATGGCAGACACTGAGACACTAAGGGACATTGGGAGACATTATGGCAGACACTGAGACACTAAGGGACACTGGGAGACATGGCAGACACTGAGACACTAAGGGACACTCGGAGACATTATGACAGACACTGGGAGACACTAAAGGGCATTGGGAGACATTATGGCAGACACTGAGACACTAAGGGACACTGGGAGACATTATGGCAGACACTGAGATGCTAAGGGACATTGGGAGACATTATGGCAGACACTGAGACACTAAGGGACACTGGGAGACATTATGACAGACACTGAGACACTAAGGGACATTGGGAGACATGGCAGACACTGAGACACTAAGGGACATTGGGAGACATTATGGCAGACACTGAGACACTAAGGGACATTGGGAGACATTATTGCAGACACTGAGACATTAAGGGACAATGGGAGACATTATGGCAGACACTGAGACACTAAGGGACATTGGGAGACATTATGGCAGACATTGAGACACTAAGGGGCACTGGGAGACATTATGACAGACACTGAGACACTATGGGGCACTGGGAGACATTATGGCAGACACTGAGACACTAAGGGACACTGGGAGACATTATGGCAGACACTGAGACACTAAGGGACATTGGGAGATATTATGGCAGACACTGAGACACTAAGGGACATTGGGAGACATTATGACACAGACACTGAGACACTAAGGCACACTGTGAGACAGTATGGTAGACACTGAGACACTAAGGGACACTGTGAGACATTATGGCAGACACTGAGACACTAAGGGACATTGGGAGACATGGCAAACACTGAGACACTAAGGGGCACTGGGAGACATTATGGCAGACACTGAGACACTAAGGGACATTGGGAGACATTATGGCAGACACTGAGACACTAAGGGGCACTGGGAGACATTATAGCAGACACAGAGACACTAAGGGACATTGGGAGACATTATGGCAGACACTGAGACACTAAGGGACACTGGGAGACATTATGGCAGACACTGAGACACTGAGGGACACTGGGAGACATTATGGCAGACACTGAGACACTAAGGGACATTGGGAGACATTATGGCAGACACTGAGACACTAAGGGACATTGGGAGACATTATGGCAGACACTGAGACACTAAGGGACATTAGGAGACATTATTGCAGACACTGAGACACTAAGGGACATTGGGAGACATTATGGCACAGACACTGAGACACTAAGGGACATTGGGAGACATTATGGCAGACACTGAGACACTAAGGGACACTGGGAGACATTATGGCAGACACTGAGACACTAAGGGACATTGGGAGATATAATGGCAGACACTGAGACACTAAGGGACATTGGGAGACATTATGACACAGACACTAAGGCACACTGTGAGACTGTATGGCAGACACTAAGACACTAAGGGACACTGTGAGACATTATGGCAGACACTGAGACACTAAGGGACATTGGGAGACATGGCAAACACTGAGACACTAAGGGGCACTGGGAGACATTATGGCAGACACTGAGACACTAAGGGACATTGGGAGACATTATGGCAGACACTGAGACACTAAGGGACACTGGGAGACATGGCAGACACTGAGACACTAAGGGACACTGGGAAAAATTATGGCAGACACTGAGACACTAAGGGACATTGGGAGACATTATGGCAGACACTGAGACACTAAAGGACACTGGGAGACATTATGGGAGAGACTGAGACACTAAGGGACACTGGGAGACATTATGGCAGACACTGAGACACTAAGGGACATTGGGAGACATTATGGCAGACACTGAGACACTAAGGGACACTGGGAGACATCATGGCAGACACTGAGACACTAAGGGACATTGGGAGACATTATGGCAGACACTGAGACACTAAGGGACATTGGGAGACATTATGGGAGACACTGAGACACTAAGGGACATTGGGAGACATTATGGCAGACACTGAGACACTGGGAGACATGTGAACACTGAGACACTAAGGGACTGCTACACAGGAGACATTATGGCAGACACTGAGACACTAAGACACTGGGGTGCAGACACAGAGACACTGAGGTTGTTGGGAGACATTATGGCAGACACTGAAACACTAAGGGACACTGGGAGACATTATGACACACTGAGACACTAAGGGACATTGGGAGATATTATGGCAGACACTGAGACACTAAGGGACATTGGGAGACATTATGACACAGACACTGAAACACTAAGGCACACTGTGAGACAGTATGGCAGACACTGAGACACTAAGGGACAATGTGAGACATTATGGCAGACACTGAGACACTAAGGGACATTGGGAGACATTATGGCAAACACACTATATGAGACACTAAAAGGGGCACTGCATGTTATGGCAGACACTGAGACACTAAGGGACATTGGGAGACATTATAGCAGACACTGAGACACTAAGGGACATTGGGAGACATTATGGCAGACACTGAGACACTAAGGGGCATTGGGAGACATTATGGCAGACACTGAGACACTAAGGGACACTGGGAGACATTTTGGCAGACACTGAGACACTAAGGTGCATTGGGAGACATTATGGCAGACACTGAGACACTAAGGGGCACTGGGAGACATTATGGCAGACACTGAGACACTAAGGGGCACTGGGAGACATTATGGCAGACACTGAGACACTAAGGGACATTGGGAGATATTATGGCAGACACTGAGACACTAAGGGACATTGGGAGACTTTATGACACAGACACTAAGGCACACTGTGAGACTGTATGGCAGACACTGAGACACTAAGGGACACTGTGAGACATTATGGCAGACACTGAGACACTAAGGGACATTGGGAGACATTATGGCAAACACTGAGACACTAAGGGGCATAGAACATTATGGCAGACACTAGGACACTAAAAAGGACATTAGGGAGACATTATGGCAGACACTGAGACACTAAGGGACACTGGGAGACATTGTGGCAGACACTGAGACACTAAGGGACACTGGGAGACATTATGGCAGGCACTGAGACACTAAGGGACACTGGGAGACATTATGGCAGGCACTGAGACACTAAGGGACATTGGGAGACATTATGGCAGACACTGAGACACTAAGGGACATTGGGAGACATTATGGCAGACACTGAGACACTA